GAGAGAGAAATGGAGGGGCTGCAGGAGAGGGGGGAGAGAAATTTTGAAGCTGCACGGGAAGGGGGGTAGGACTGGAGGGGCTGCAGGGGAATGCGGGAGAGAGAAATGGAGGGGCTGCAGGAGAGGGGGGAGAGAAATTTGGAAGGGGGAGGAATGGAGGAGCTGCAGGGGAAGTGGGTAGGAATGGAAGGGCTGCAGGGGAATGCGGGGGAGAGAAATGGAGTGGCTGCAGGGGAAGGGAGGGGGGATAGAGAAATGAAGGGGGATGCGGGAGAGGGGTAGAGAGAGAAGGGGAGGGGCAGAGAAAATGTTTGCAGCTGCAGGGGAGGGGAGTGGGGGAGAGAAATGGAGTGGCTGCAGGGGAAGAGAGGGGGTAGAGAAATGCAGGGGAGAGAAAAATGGAGGGGAGCGCAGAGAGAGAGAGACACACATAGAGGGGCAAGAGTGGTTGGGGGAGCAAATAAGACACATGGGGGGAAATGAGACATGTGGAGGGGGGAGAAAGACACATGGAGGTGTGGGGGGAATGAGACACATGGAGAGGCTTGGAGGGAGGGAATGAGACCCATGGGGAAATGAGAGGGCTTGGGGTGGGAAAGAATGAGACACATCAAGGGGCTGGGAGGGTCCACATGTCAATTTTCGCACCGGGACACTGTGGTTTCTAGTTACGCCTCCGCACATCGGTAATATGCAGGTTTGATGATAAGACCACTGTCAGAATTATTCACTAAGTGCCATCTGATGGAAATGGAAATAGAATTTCAAAGTGTAGTCAATTTATACCTGAATGGAAAAACTGAGACAAAAATAGCAGTGTTGCTGACTTTATCCAGATTAGTTATTTTTGCCTCTTCTGCCATTCATTGTTAGATATCTGTTCTCTATAATTTGGAGGTCAGTAAAGAAGCCCTTGAACTGCAAAATATATGCTAAAAGTAGTTGAGTGGGACATTTCCCCTGCTTGTCTTTTTTGCAATTCACTACAATCTTTCCATTTACTGAAACTTTTTATTTTTTGCCATTCAGATTTTAATTTGCTACAGTGTGGAGTTAAGTGGGTAAGTATAGTGTTCAGTTTCTGTAAGGCGTTGTCTTACACTAAAAACAGTCTGAATTGTAAGGAAATGGGAACAGAAGTTGTAAACCACACTGCCCAACATGCAAACACTGCAAGAGGCATTGCTGTGAAAACGAGGCTTGGGACGCACGGTTATCCACTTCCTATATTCAGGACCCCAGATACTTCACACACAGGGGTGTCTATAGCATGCCTGATCTAATTTTGGCTGCCATGATATCGGTTCTGCTGCATTGAATCACGTACACTGTAAATTAAACCTCTGTAAACACATGTTCGAGAAGCTGGGCGGCGTTATACATTACTCGTTTCCTAAAAAGCAATCAGGCATAGTGCGGACAGCCTGTGACATCCAGAGTAGGAAGCTCTGTGCTTGTGCATGGTGCAGGTAGGGGAGAGACTGTCAGAGAATGTCATGCAGTGTGCTCACATAGTGCATGGAGTCTACTTCTATTACCTTTGCTTTTATTTGCATTCACTCTAATTGTGCACCTTTAACCCTTCACTAGCAAAGGGGATACCTTCATTAATTCAAACATACATATTAAGAAAAATCCTTTTTTTTTTTTTTTTTTTTACAATGTAAAATGTAAAAGGCTGT